TCAATCCATAAGACGATTGGCTCGTGAGAGATCCCTTTTTACTCGAGGACAGAAAGTTAGAAGGTTAGAGAGGGCGAAGATCATCTTGCATAGGTTGAAAAATAATTGTCGAATAAATATATATATATATATATATATATATATATATATATATATATATATATGAATCAATTTCAATCCTCTATGCGCTTTCGATCTTTAGCTGTGATTCATTGATGATGTTATTTTCGTTTATGATGAATTTCATCACGATTCTTCTGTTAAGCTTGGAGAGCGATATGTTATCCCAAGCTTTGTGAGTAAAATTGTCTAGACGGAATCAACTGGAAGCCGCCGATATTTATGCTAGCACGAACGAAGTCACAAGTCATCGTCACCGAGGTCTGAGCGTCCTGGTTTTTTTTTTCTAATCAGGCCAGATTATGCGCGCCTCTCTAGAAAAGTAATTATAGTTCGCTCAGCATAGTTGCAAGATCAACGACAGGTGTCCTAGCAATCGGGTGTGTTCACAATCAGCCATTAATATGTAGATAATAATAGCTAGCCACTCGTATTAGAGGATACCCTATTGCAGACTCTTGCTCAGGCATATTTGTATTTGTTCAACAGCCACAGAGCTAAACTGTGGTTTATACTGCAACTATGCTTAGCGGACGTTAGGTACAGTTTCTGGGAGAGAGCGTGTTATCTAGAATAATCAGTAATCTGAACAACATCAGCACACTCAAACCCTCGGTCACGATGACTTGTGACTTCGTGCTAGCACAGCTATCGACGGATCCAAGTGTTCCATCGTCCCAATTTGACTCAGAAACCTTGGGTCAACCCGTGTTATGATTTACAGGCACTTTCCAAAGGTGCAACATGTTGGTATCGGCTCCAACACCAGACCGATAACATCAGAAATCCCCTTCCTGACAAATCGACCATGGCGAGATTAGATTCATTTGCAGATAAATATACGTACATATGCCTTTAGTTGTCACTTCATATATTTAAATATTCCTCTGTCATAAATATATATAAACTTTAGCACACACGAACATCGCCCAGGCAGTATCTACGTATGACCCCTTAATTGTATCTTTCAGTTACATCTACTCACACACCTATAAGCGTGGGATTGATCTATGATTATGTATTTGCCCGCATAGAATACGCATGCACATACATATATATGTGTGTGAATGTGTTTTATAGGCAACTACTTCTTTTAAATACCTAAATTTGTGCCCTGCAACTGACAGGCATTTTGCTTGCTCTCTGGTATTTAATCAATGATGTAGTGAGCAGTGTGCCAAATGCTGTCTATTGAAAATCTGACATCAGAATGTTGGCTGTTGTAAAATCCCCGCTAATGGCGCCAATCGATGAACAGTGTAGACAGAGAAAGTTAGAATTGTAATATGCCCGCCTGTCGAAGAGGTCGCAGTACTTAAAAGGGAAACTTAAAATTGTGAAACTTATCACGGTATTTACAACAATTTAGTCACTCATAAAATCTTGGGTTTGCATAAATCAACGCGTGTGTGTATACCATTGTTATGTGTCCCCTAAAATAAAGTGTGACTACTGTAGCATCAGAACGATCCGCTCCAAAAAGTAACTAACTCCTTTACCTCAGTATTTGCCATTACAAAATTGAGATCAAACCAAAATCGAGTATATTTGCCGTATCTGTGCCGGAGCTTAATAGTCTTAAGTTCAAAATCATTTATGCAATCACGTTGTTCATCCAGTCTGAGGCACTTTTCCAGAGATGTTACGTCGGAAGCCTACCGCTATTCTATCGATACATCCATAACAAATGTTCAGACAGGCTTCATTTCATCATATACGCATACCTTTACAGCCAAAACCCGTCTTTGCATATCCAAATGTTGGAAGAAGGATGTTCCACCCAGAAAGAACCACTACATAGAGAAACAGACTAAACTCCTCCTTGAATGCTTTTTTTTTCGAATAGTGCAACCTAAACAACTTTAAGTCTAATACCCAATCGTTATCTTTCATCCATAAACCATATATCGTGGGGTATACAGAAAAGTGACGTATGGCATTATCATCCTTCGGACTGCACAGTTCTGAACCCCGTTCATCGATTGCTACCTTTAAACAGTTATAATAATAAACATTACTTGCCTGGAGAAGTCAACGCCTGATGTTGTGGGAGAAGCTCTTAAGACTTTCAATCCGACTAGATGCAAAATATCACCCTCTTAGCGTGCTGAACAGTTTTTAGATTGTTTACCGGTTACCAATTTCGTTTTCCCTTAGCATTTTAGATGCAAACTCGGTTTATCCGTTTCATCGCTTGTGATCATTTGTTTCAATTGTAGACCGTTTCATTGAATTGGAAAAGAGAATCTCAGATGGAATTACGTTCCATTAATCTATTTTCGCCAGTGGTAACATTGCCGGCGGCCCAACAGCGGACCACCAGCGTCAAACGCTGGTGGCATGCCACCCAGTCACAGATTGGTGGCTTGTGCGTAGGGTAAATTCTGATGAAGCTTAAATAAGAGCGAAAGATGATAAATTTACGAATGTTTCCTATTTGTTATATAGCTTATCATTCGTTCAGATTCTAACCCATATTTGATCCCAATGTGTGCATGTGTGTGTGTGCGTGTGAATATAGGTGGGTACGCGTGAGAGTCTCTGTGAACATGAAAGAAAGTGCGTGCTATGCTAGGTAGTTGTGTGCATACAATAATATTAAGCAAAACAAAGATATTCAATAGAAACTACCATAATATTAGACACACGCATACACACACATATACACACACGCACGTACACACACACACACACACACACACACACACACACACACACATATATATATATATGTATAGTTCTACTCTGTATTGATCACTTTTATAAAGAAAATATTACGTATATTGAAACTATATATATATATATATATATATATATATATATATATATATATATATATATATTTCTGTGCGTGCGTAATCTTTGAAAAAACAGGAAACAGTTAATCAATAAAACGGCGCTTAGATTCGATTGCTGCTCCAATGCGGCCTTATATGTGACTGAATACCCGTATCAATTGTTTCTCTTTTATATTGGCCATCACGTTCGTACTGGCGGCCTTCAACGTGTCCTTGGTATTGTGATACCACAGTGTGACCTCTCATTTGATTACTCCCTAGGGATAACTGTCCAGGGGATTACAGGCGCTAGGAGACCAAAACTGATACACTGCAGGAACTCGAAAAAAAAAGAGTTTAAAAATTATTAACCAGCTGGCTCAAATGGGTGATATGTGAAGTTGCAGATTCATACTACTGCACATAGACTTCTTTTGTTAGTCTCGGATTTGATATACATATCTAGAATCTTCTGCTTCTACTTTTTTTTCTTTCCTTCTCCTTGTTTACTTTTCTTATATCCTTCCCCTTTCCTTCTTATTATCTATTTATTTACTTCATTTCTTTGCCTTTTGCCTTTTTCTTTAAATCCTCCAATTTTTGCCTTTCTATTGTGTTGTTTTCGTGGTTTTTTTTTGTTGTTGTTGTTGTTGTTGTTGTTGTTCTTCTTCTTCTTCTTCTTCTTCTTCTTCTTCTTCTCGCGTTTTGAAGATTCTTCTTCTTCTTCTTCTTCTTCTTCTTCTTCTTCTTCTTCCCAGGTCTTGAAGAGTCTTCTTATTCTTTCTCCTCTTCCTTTTCTTCTCAGGTCTTGACGATTCTTTCTCTTCTTCTTTTTCTTCTTCTTCTTCTTCTTCTTCTTCTTCTTCTTCTTCTGAGGTTTTGAAGATTCTTTTTCATCTTCTTTTTCTTCTTCTTCTTCTTCTGCTTCCACTAATTCTTCTTCTTCTTCTCCTCCTCAGGTATTGAAGATTCTTCTTCTATTTTTTTCTTCTTCTGTATTGATTCTTCTTCTTCTTCTTCTTCTTCTTCTTCTTCTTCTTCTTCTCAGGTTTTGATGATTCTTCTCCTTCTTCTTCAAACTGTGCGTACCCATGAATTTATAACCAATTGTGGTGTTTCATTTTCTAATCACGCCGTTTTGTTACATTTTCAATCGCAACCGACTCTTAATTCTTGAATGCCTTGTGATTTTTTTTATCCATCAAATGATCAATGATTGGTGCCTTTCATGCAACAGCCAACGAAAGAAACGACTACTAATGGTAACAATCGCAATACAGACATATTGTACAAAAAAAATCAAAGAGTTTTCGGCATCTTGCCCTTGAATTACAGAAAATGTAGAACATGAAATTAACAATTGTACCCTTAAATTCGCTGCAGTGGGTACAGTCTGCAAATCTCAAGAAAAAAAAAGGAAAACAAGAAAAACTAATCGAAACTAACCCATCTCCGTTTCTAACGAAGGCGATGAGAATATTTTTTAAGTCTTAAAAAGAATGGCGTGAATTCTTCAGTGGAAACAGCCTAGAAAATTTTAATGAGGCATATTGCCACGAAACAGTGTTTAGCAGACATGTCTCTTTCTATCAGCAATGTGTGTTCGTTCATTACTGGGAATCAGTAATAGTGTGTTCGATCCTTACTGGATATCCCACATTTCTGGCTTCATGCTCTAGGAAACTAAGCTGACTAGGACGCCTGTCAATGAGCACTTAAAAGAAAAATTGTTTTGATGCTAATTTCCACGTATACTGTGTAGCGGTTATTAGCGGAGAAATTGGAATCGTCATGCCTCTGCTAAAGGCATGAAGCTATCTACCTGCCTTGGTTGACAAACATTTTAAGAGAAAGACAAATGTGAATCAAAAAACTGGTTGTCCACCCTGCTAGCAATACGAACCTTGTCAAAAACTACATGCTGCAATGACCGCAGCATCAGTGCATAATGTGATGATCCTGTGGCTCTATTCTCCATCACATTCAGACATAAAATATTCTCAATAAATATAGATCACTCAGTGAATGTCTAAATAATAATAAAAAACCCAAAGTGGTGTGCGTTAATGTTACCGCTCTATTTACTGGGTACCCCGAGAAAATTAAGTTTAGGGTACTAGCAGATTTCTCCAACCCTCTTAAGGATAATTCTCTAATAGAGTAAGCTGGCGTTTACCTGGGTACTCAACTAGAGTAGCACCATGTTAGACAAAGGGAATTTAATAAACAACACATATTTATTAACGCAATCAGTTCTTTAGTCTGAAACGTTCACTGGATATCACAATTTTTTAAGTTTAATCTGCTTAATATAATATTGTCTCCGATTCATAGGCATTGGCACCATAATATGGCATAATCTGATGGAGAAGGAGAAGAGGGTCTATTCCGTGTTCGATCATTCAAATTGCTTGCCTATTTTATATTTATTGGCTGACGTCTCATATTTCCACTGTTCTGTTCCCTGAAGAATGTAACGACCATCAAATCATGGTCACATGGACATACACTGTAATTTCTCTCTCTCTTTCACTATGGTTAGATGGTTTTCATAAAAACGAACGTGTTGTCTGATACATTTTCTAAATCAACGCTTGGGCGTATACCATCGTTGTGTGTCTCCTAAAATAATGTGTGGCTACATACAGCTAGAACTGAGTTAAAAATCGTTTAAGCGATCGCCTTGTTAATCCCTCTTCTAGAGACGTCACTATCCTATTGTTACACCTATCTGAAATATTCAGACGGGTTTCATTATTTCATATCACCAGATCAGACAACTGCAGCCATGACCTGCCTTGCTGTATCCAAATGATGAAATCACGTCCGTATCCCATTGGGAAGAAGGATTCTCCCCTCAGTAAGAAACACTATTGTAAAAAAAAAACAGAACATACCTTCAAATTTCTCTCTCTTCTTTAGTGTGGTCAAATGGTCTTCACAACAAAGAACATGTTGTCTGATACATTTTCTAACGTTTCCCTTTATTATGTGGTTCTTGTAGAAAATTCTTGTCGATGTCATGAGAGTTAAGGATACATATGCACACAAACAAAAATAAAACAGATAGAAGTTAGTGCAGCTGCGTCAGATTTATTTTGACGTTGATATTATTCTGTCTCTCTTTCTCTCTCTCTCTCTCTCTCTATCTCTCTCTCTCTCTCTCTTTAGTATTGCCAATGTCTTGCAGGCTGCGTAGGTGTAACCAGTACTTCCGTCATTGACACGTCTTCACCGATGATGGCGCCAACGTATTTAAACAAAACTATTCACTGTTTCCAGATGTTGTCTACTTACATTGATATTCATCATGAGTAAATTCTAATGTTTCGCTTCTCGACGTTTATCTTTATTCCATATTTTGTCAAGGGATCCTACAATATGGTTTTTGTCAATTCCACTTTCTTTGACTCATAATCAGCACATCAGTATCATCGGCAAAAAGACCATGTTGATTGTACCAGAGTATCCTTCCATGGAGACAATCATTTTTCATTCCAGGAAAATGTGGAAATTTTAGGAGAGAGAAAACAATTTTAACAAAGCCAGCTGTGGTGGGGAATTAGTCACCGATATTTCCTTCAACGAGTAATACATTATTAACTTTTGATTTTAACTGTTGTGTGTTGTTGAACTGCTTTTGAACCTTATTGTTATACTTAATGTTTGCTCACTGTGAATAATGTTCCAGCCAGTCAAATGATTTCTTAAAAATGTGGCAGACTAACAAGTAAGAATAAGAAAAATAAGTCCATTTATATCTTTCAATATTATTGCCTTTCTAGGGAAAGTTTCTTTTCTCCTGAAACTAGACAAATATAATCTTATCTGAAGGCTGCAGATGTTATGTGTTGGAGAAATGTCAGTAATGTCTACTACAATTAGGACACTAGGATAAATCCCAAATAACAATGAAGAAAATATATAAAGAAACATATAGAGACGAGAAAGAGAATCCAGATGTGCAGATTAATCATGAAAGAAGCCTAAAAGAATTGAGGGAGGATATTTCTTATGGGAAGAAACTAGTCAAGAAATTGCTAATATATTGAAGACACAAGACTGCCTATTATAGAGTTTGCAATTTTGTAATGGCGACCAATTCGATAGTGTAGCCAGTTCGGAAAACACATTAGGAAGGACAATTCTTTTTTTTTTTCTACTAAAGCTTCGTGATAATGGGAATATTAAGAATAATAGCTTGCGTGAAATGAGTGACTTTTATTGGCAATATACAAAAGGCATACTTACTGTATAGGTTACGGATTTTCTTTAAGAAGCATAATGTTATATTCAATATTATAAAACTTATCGCCTTCACACACACACACACACACACACACACACATACATACATATATATATATATATATATATATATATATATTATAAATTAATTGATTTAAAATATGGTTTTACCGCTACACAGTTCTAACCATGTTTCAAAAATAGAAGCTAAAATCCCCGAATTTAATTTTGCAATTAAATTAAAAGCATTAGTTAAAAATAAAAATATCTATAATAACACCGGATTATATATCTTACTGTTCTTTCTTTATATATATATATATATATATATATATATATATATATATAAGTGAACATTGAATTCAACACTCAGAGTCGACAGGTTGTTTCATGTTAGAAGCAATCGTCAGGCCTACTAGCAAATTAGCTGACTCGGACGCCTGCCAATTGCGTCTAGCATGAAACAGACTGTCGCCTCTGAGTGCTGACTTCAATGTTCACTTTTATATTTACATTTACATACACTCTATCTCTGATATTGAGCACTTTATCCCAGAGATATAGCACACCTTAAAACTATGTTTTTCATATATATATATATATATATATATATATATATATATATATATATATATATATATATATATATATATACGGGAGGTGTGTTACTATGCGCATGTGTGTGATCTTTAACATCTGAAAATATGAAAGATATAAATAATGTGTAGAATTCCCTCAAACGTATTTGTAGCCAATCGATATTCTTTCAGGCCACATGAGATTTTTTAATCTCTTATGATTTTATGACTGTTTTATATTTCTAGACAACGTATGCGAGTGATATGTTCCGTTTAATTCTATTTGTTCACGCATTATCTTATTTCTGTATATATGCTCTCGCGAGAAGACGGAGAAAGTCACTTAATTTCACGACGTTTGCAGGGAGATACAAACAATCATGAGAATACTAATAAAATGAACCATTAGTTAATGGCCAACTGAGTATATTTTGGCAAGTGTGTTTTTTTTTGTTTTTTTTTTATCTCCGGCCCGCGTAAATAGGCACACATTAATATGGATTAATAATTTTGCAGATATACGCTTAGGTATTCCTTGAATTTTGACTTTTACATTCTTCTCTTTATAGTTATCAGTTACTGACAAGGAAGGAAAATATCATGCAAAAATAAATATTTGTTGTGTAAAATCATTTTTTCATCATTAAGCTGCTGACTTCCTGGTGTCCCAATTCATATCCGCAAACACTATAATACACAAGTGTGGATCATTAAATCCGTAGCAAGGCACTCACTTCCTATTCACACCCATAATTGTAATAAATCTTATTTATTATAAAACGCAGATTGTGTGTGTTTGTGTGTGTGTGTGTGTGTCTGTACGTTTATATATTGGATCGGATTTCCTACATTTTTCAACCAATTTCAACAAAACTTCACAGGACTACGTAAAATTACCTTGCGGTGGTTCTGAAAGCGTCGAAAATTGAAAAAAAAACACAATTGTTTTTGCACAAAATCAATTTGAAAACACGATTAAGTCGCCAGAATGAAAGGGGGACAACTCATATCGAGTTATACTTATTATAAAACCCAGGTTGTGTGTGTGTGTGTGTGTGTGTGTCTGTGTGTGTGTGGGTGTGTGTCTGTACGTTTATATATTGGATCGGATTTCCTACATTTTTCAACCGATTTCAACAGAACTTCACAGGACTGCGTGAAATTACCTTGCGGTGGTTCTGACAGTGCCAAAAATTGGAAAAACACAATTGTTTTTGCACGAAATCTATTTGAAAACACGATAAAACACAATCCTGTCGCCATAATGAAAAGGGGCAACTCATATCGAGTTATACTTATTATAAAACCCAGGTTGTTTGCGTGTATGTGTGTTCGTTTATATATTGGATCGGATTTCCTACATTTTTCAACCGATTTCAACAAAACTTCACTTTTTGGGGAGGTAGTGTTTCTTATTGTCTTTGAGTTTGGGTTTGACCAATTCGTAAAAAAAAACAAAACAAATTAAGGTTGTGTGTGTGTGTGTGTGTTTGTGTGTGTGTGTGTGTGTGTGTGTGTGTGTGTGTGTGTCTGTACGTTTATATATTGGATCGGATTTCCTACCTTTTTCAACCGATTTCAACAAAACTTCACAGGACTACGTAAAATTACCTTGCGGTGGTCCTGACAGCGCCAAAAATAGGGAAAAACACAGTTGTTTTTGCACGAAATCAATTTGAAAACACGATTAAGAGTCATCGCGTGAATGAAAGAAACAACTAATATCGAGTTATATTTATTATAAAACCCAGGTTGTGTGTGTGTGTTCGTTTATATATGGGATCGGATTTCCTACATTTTTCAACCGATTTCAACAAAACTTTACTTTTTTCTTATTGTTAGTGTTTCTTATTGTCTTGCACACTTTTTTCTTTATTTTTACATTCAGAATGCTTTAAAAATTCCATTTACAAGACAATTGTTTATAATAAAATTCTATTCAATTGATAGACTCATAACGATTGAAAACAATGTTTTTGTTTGAGTTTGACTAATTCATAAAAAAAACAAGAAAAACAAAAAAAAAACTAATTAAGACATGCGTGTCCGTCAACCTTAAACAATGATCTATGTCAATTTTATTTTTCAGGCTTTATGATGGTCGATACTTGATCTATCTCTTACTGTTACATCCCCGGGCCACGCCGGGCTCTACTGCTAGTAATAGCTATATCAGATATGAGACTATCTGAACAGTGGTAGGCTGCCATGTCTACATGAACCATGATTATGAAGACGACCGAAAACACACTTGAAAACTCACTGTCATTAAAAATCAGATATCCTCTATACTATTAGCGATCTGTCTTTATTTTCTTTTTATGTGCCATGTCCTTTTAGGACGTAGAGAATCATAGGTCTCCACCTCCCTCTATCTCAACAAGTTACTGTCCCACTAATTCTATCCCCACAACGCGTTCTATCATCCGCTTGCGTAAGCCCGCCAGGTATGTCACGCGTTGTTTTCCCATGTCTCTCTTTACCCTCTATTCGACCCGTGAGTATCAGATTCTCCACGCCCTCCTTCCTCATTATGTGTCCCAGAAACTTCATCTGCCTCTTCCTGATATTAAGTATAAGTCTCCTCCTTGTTTGCAACTTCTCTAAGACCTCATCGTTGCTTACACGCTCGGTCTATGATATCCTTATCATCCTTCTGTAGAACCACATCTCTTTCGCCTCGAGTCTCTACTTCATCTTTGAGGAAATCGTCCAACATTCGCTGCCGTAAAGAAGGACTGATGTTACGTAACAGTTCATTACAGATGCAGAAGGACGTGTACATATGTTTCATCGACTACGCAGAGGCCTTCGACAAAGTACGCCATAAGTATCTGATGGAACTGCTCAGCAACCTCGATATATTCGGGAAAGATATCAGAATAATCAAGAACCTATACTGGCAGCAAACTGCATCCATGCGCATAGAGAACGAGTTCAGCAAATATGCAAAAGTAGAAATGAACATAAGGCAAGGATGCGTCCTCTCACCCGAACTGTTTAACTTATATAAAGCAAGGCAATTCTGTGAGAATTGGAAACCCTACCGTGATTTAGCATTGGCGGCCACAATCTTAACAACATAAGATACGCAGATGACACAGTACTGATAACGATCTATGGACCATATGTTTTCAATTATTTGGCGATCATGTTTCTCCATATTTTCCTGTGTTTTGTAGTCCTTAATAAATTTTGTAATTTTTCTATCTTTCCTAGCCCCGGTTCTACAGTTCATTTACAGAAAATATGTGAGCAACGACGAAGTTTTGGGGAGAGTGGAAATGAAAAGGAAACTAATACTTAACATCGTAAAAGAGACAGCTGAGGTTTCTCGGGAGCATAATGAGGAAAGAGGGTTTGGAAAATCTGA